CACAATTCCTCTGGTTTTCGGTCATTGGTATTCAATGCATCAAATCTATTCTTTAAATGGTCTCCAAATTCAGGAGGGATATTATCAAGGTCATATTTTGGCTCTTGTGGACTTGTTTTAATTGTCTTCTACTTCAACTTGATCATGCATATATATGAGCAGTTGATGGTCTGTTCCACAAATAGCTCCTGGCCTTGTTTTGGCCAAAGATATTGAACTTCTCCATCGCCTTTTGCCACAGATGTAGTCATTCTGATTCCTGTGTATTTCACCTGGTTAAGTCCATGTGTATAGTCATCACATATGTTGTTGAAAAAAGGTATTTGCAGTGAATAAGTCGTTGGTCTTGCAAAATTCTATCATGCAACCTCCACCGTTATTTCTATCACCAAGGCCGTATTTTCCAACTACCAGTAACTCTTCTTTGTTTCCAACTTTTGCATTCCAGTCACCAGTGATAATTAACACATCTTGATTGCATATTTGCTCAATTTCAGGCTGTAGAAGTTGGTAGAAATCTTCAATTTCCTCATCTTTGGCTTTTGTGGTTGGTGCATAGATTTGAATAATAGTAGTATTAACTGGTCTTCCTTGTAGGCATATGGATATCCTATCACTGACAGCGTTGTACTTCAGGACAGATCTTGAAACACTCTTTGTGACTATGAATGTCATTCCTCTTCAATTTGTCATTCACAGCAATATAGATCATATGGTTGTCTGTTTCAGAATGGCCAAAACCAGTTAATTTCAGCTGACTAATGCCTAGAATATTGATCTTTATGCATTCCATTTCATTTTTTACAACTTCCAATTTTCCTAGATTCATACATCATACATTCTATGTTTCAATTATTAATGGGTGCTTGCATCTGTTTCTACTCATTTTGAGTCATGCCACATCAGCCAACGGAGGTCCCAAAAGCTTTACTCTATGCATATTGTTAAGGTTGTCTCTACCCTGAGGAGTCAGCTCTTTCCCAGTCAAATTTCGAGTGCCTTCAAGGGTTCGTCTACTGGCACTATATCAGACAGTGTTTCAGGGCTATTCATAAAGTTTTCCAGTAATATATCAGACAGTGTTTAACAGCTATTCATAAGGTTTTCACTGGCCAATTGTTTGAAAAGTGGATGGCCTCTTCCTTCTTCAGAGTCTATCTTAGCCTGAAGCTCTGCTGCAACATGTCTACCACGGGTAACCCTGCTGGCATTTTGCAATACCAGTGGCATATCCTCCAGCCTCACAGCAACATGTAAAGCAGCACAGGATGACAAACTGACAGACAAGTTCATCTCCCTTAGTTGTTCCTATCCCCTCTGTGCCCACCTACCTTGGGCCCTGGCCTTAATGTATAACTGCCCCTAAGCGAAAAGCAGCCCCTAAGCCCCGGGCCCACCTACCTGGGCTTAAAATAGAACCACCCCCAAGTGAAAAGCAGTCCCCATGCCCTGGGCCCACCTACCTTGGGCCCTGAGCTTAAAATAGAGTCACCCAAAAATGAAAAGTAGCCCCTGAGCCCCTCTTTGAATATTAGATTCTGTAAAGATTCTCAGGGAGTGCATTTTAACTTGCCTTTGTTTAAACCTATCCTAGTCTATTCTTTCTGTCTTTTCCTCTTAGTTTTTCCTCCTTGTTCTCCTTTCCCCAAACCCAATGCTTTATTGCCACCATTGAGAAAACTGAGGAATACTTAGCTCCACTACTTAGCTGAGCTTAGCTCCCTGTTTGCATCCATGTCATTCCCATGTTTTAGTGGTAAATTACCCCCATGACCTGAGAAATAATTTCTTGCTTTAATTGTTAAGAAAAAAATAAGCTTTATAGATGTGTATATTGTAAAATTTTACTATGTGGAATCTACCCTTTTACATTAAAAAAAAAAAAAAAAAAAAAGCCACAGACAAAATAAAAGTGTATTAAAACAAGTTCATTCATATGCCCTCAAATTATCTGGATTAACCCTACCTGCTACTAACCAGAAGGCTGGTGGTTCAAATCCACAAGCCACTTATTGGAAGGAAGATTGGACAATCTACTTCCATAGTGATAATGCCTCAGAAACCTAAGGAGGGGTCACTATGAGTTGGATCTGATGTGATGGCAGTGACTGACTGACTGACTGCTCAAAGAAAAGTTGAGCTGTGTCTCCAATAGTGGGAGTGAAAAACTGAAAATGTCAACACATGGCTATGTTGATTCCAGCCCTCACTCATGTCATCTTAGGAGAGAAGACTGGCCTTGTCAGCTGCTGACCTGTACCTGTCAGTTATGGTCCATTCTTTGTGCTAAACCTTTTGTCTCCCTGGATCAAGATCCTTAACCTTTGTCACATCACTGACTTGGAGTGTTTGCTCAATCACCTGGCAGAAGTGACACCAGCTCTGGAATACCTCAGCCTGCTGGGTAATGTGGCATGCCCCAACGAGCTGGTCAGCTTGGAAAAGGATGAGGAAGACTACAAGAGATATAGGTGAGTAGCAAGGGGCTTGAGCATGGTATGAGAAGGGGAAAATTACATTGTTGGGGATTGCTATTGTACTGTGAGGTGTATCCTAGATATTTGGTAAATATCAGTGAAGTTCCTATGACAGTGCTGAACTTTCTTTACTTTTCAGTATCCTGGAGCCATTGTCTCCCTTTGCCAAGGCCACAGGAACCAAGAGAAAAAAAAAGCTGTTTGGTGGTCGAGGTCAGAGATTGACAACTTTTTCAAAAGGCCAGATTGTACATACTTCAAGCTTTTTGGGCCATATGGTTTCTGTTGCAACCTATGCTGTTCTAGTGTGGTGGTAGCCATAAATAATACATACATGAATGGACATGTGTTCCAATAATACTTTATTTAATAGAAATAGATAGTAAGACAGATTTCAGCCATTAGTTGTTTGTTAGGTACTGTCAAGTTGACTGTGACTCATAGCAACTCATACAGCAGAACAAAACACTGATTGTCCTGTGCCATCCTCACAAGTCTTGCTATAGGTCAACCCATTGTTGCAGCCACTTTGTCCATCCATCTCGTTGAGGGTCTTCTCCTTTTCCGCTGACCCTCCACTTTAAAAAGCATGATATCCTTCTCTAGGGAATGGTCCCTTCTGACAAAATGACAAAAATATATAAGATGAAGTCTGGCCATTCTGGCTTCCAAGGAGCACTCTGGCTGTACTTCTTCCAGGACAGATTTGTTCATTCTTCTGGCAGTCCATGATATTTTTAGTATTCTTTGCCAACATCACAACTCAAACGCATCAGCTCTTCTTCAGTCCTCCTTATTCATGGTCCAGCTTTCACAGACGCATAAAGCAATTGAAAATACCATGGCATAGGTTAGGCGCACCTTAGTCTTTAAAGTGATATCTTTGTTCTTCAACACTTTAAAGAAGTTTTTTTTGCAGTAGATTTGCCCAGTGCAATATCTTGACTCCTACTTCCATGGGTATTAATGGTAGATCTGTGGGCTCTAATTTGCTAATCACCACCATGTGTTGTAAGACACTTTTGTGGTCTGCCTCAGAGTCACAAAAAGTGACCCACCAAAGTTGAGGAAGTCCCAGAAGGCCCATACCTCTCTTAACATAAAACAGTGCCTTAATGTCCACCAAATATGTGCTTTGGTGGGATCCAAGTAGAAACATACCAGGAAAACTTTAATGCTTTATTCCCCTTCTCTCTACTTCTAATCTGTTTTGAAATCTCTGATCCAAACAAACCTATAAAGTAAACAATAACAATTGTGAGGAATGTACTCCTCAGAACAATCAACCATACAGACCAAAATGGCAGGGTTTTCCCAAAAACAAAGTTCTAAAGGCAGGAAAGAACAAATGGAAACGGGAAACCTTGGGAGGAAGTGGGAAGAGTGCTGTTACATTGAAAGGATTGCAACTGATGTGAAATAAAATATGTATAAATTTTTGAAGAGAAAACTAATTTGCTCTGTAAACATTCACCTAAATCACATTAAAATGTTTAAAAAACAAAACAAAACAAAAATCACATATCTTAGCCTTCCTGATCTTACCCAAGTTACTGAACTTATTTTGTTTTCTTCATTTTAAATTCTGTGTATACTTATTTTTCATTGTTGTTTTGTAAATATTTTAATGATTTTTTAAATATGTTTAGCCTCTCTTTCATTAAGATGTAATCTCTCATGAACACCAAGTAGTGTGGGAAGGAGGGAGTGAGGAAGAGATGGAGGGAGAAAGGAAAGGGAGGAAATGAAAGGTGGGAGAGGCCCCTGGAAATTAGATTTAGAAGAGTTAGAAGGAAGGAGGATAATGGTTTGAGAGAAACTGGTTCTATTGGGAATCAAAAATCTATCATGGCCCATGAAGGAATGTAGTTGAAGGAACATCTTGTATAAAGGCAGAGCAGTAAGACATAGATGCCATACCAGGAAGATGATTGAATCTTCTAGATTAAAAAATTATGTGTATGTGTGTTTGTACACACACATATATGTACATATATGTAAGGCTACATGGATTTGGCTGTATTTCTTTACTGGAAATTATTTTGAACTATAATCTCATTTTCTAGACTTCTTGATTAATTTTGTTGGGATCTTAGGCTGTATTTTAAACCATGTTTGAATAAAGCTCTTAACCCAAATTTTTATTTTTTAATCAGATTTTTCTCCATCATGAAAATTTTTCACTTGGGATTTGAACATGGGTTCTAGTAGAAAATATGGTTACACCAGTAGATGGATACTCACAAATTTCTAAATCAATACTCTAAGTTGCTTAAATACTTTAAACTTAATTTTCTTCTGTAGCACTCTTATCAACTTTAAAGCATTTAACAATCTGATACCAGGTTTGAAGTGGTACCATAAAGCATATTTTATCTTCTTGCAACAATTCATTTTCAATAAATGTCTCGGAAGGATGAAGCAAATCCAAAAAGTTCACCCAATAAACATTTTCATTAGAACAAGCAATTTTTTTTAACTTTTTCCCTTCATATTTCTTAAAAATAGTGTAATAAATGATATATGTATATACACGTATGTGTGTGTATATGTATATATGATCTGTACATAAGTATGTATAAGGAGCCCTGGTGGTGCAATGGTTAAGCATTCAGCTGCTAACTGAAAGGTCAGTTAGCAGTAGCTCTGCAGGAGAAAAGACCTGGCAATCTGTTCCTGTAAAACTGACAGCCTAGGAAATCCCATAGAGCAGTTGTACTCTATCATACAAAGTTGCTATGAGCTAGAATTGACTTGATAGCATACAATGAGTGTATACACACACCACACACACACTCATTCATTGAATTTATGGAGCCAAAAGGCCACACATGAATGTGATTGTAAGCAGATTTTTGTTGTTTTTTTCTAGAATGAGAGAAGTAGCAGCAAAAACAGGGTTTAGAAGGTTGTAAAAGGAAAAGAAAAAAACTAATACTATACTTTTTAATTGTACTGGTTACACTGGTAAAAAATACTGAGACCCCTGGTATAAGAGGTCAGATCAGAAGATCTGATGTTTAGTCCAGCTTTGTCAGTGGGGCCTTTAAAATGAGGAGGGCAATATAGATCAGTGGTCCTTAACCATGGATATATCTCTGAGACATCTAAGATATTATTTATTTGGTAGAAAATAAGACAAAATAGTCAATAGGTGGTTACAATATTCAATTAAGAAATAAGGTACATAATGGTATTTAATGCCCCTGTTGGCTCTAACATTCAGAGATACTTTGCTATCAAGTAGGTACAGTTCATCCATCACCATTTCATGCCATTTTACATCTTGTATTGTTCTTTAACTACTTTACATTTTTCAACATAAAAGAATACACTTCCAGTGGATAAGGACTGGTGGATCTTCTGATCTTTTGTAGCCTTATCAGCACCTAAAATACTGTTGGACATGTCATAGGCATGTGATAACTGTTTGCTGGAGGTGACTTGCAATTAGCCGTACCTCTCAGGAGCTGAGTACTTATAGACAGATGCAGGATCCTTTGGGTAGTTCAAATATCCACTGCCTATTTGGAATCAGATCTATTTGAATGTCAACAAAGCCAGATAACAAGGAAGTGATTATTATTCAGACTCTCAATCCAAGTCTTGGTTGTTAGGCCATGATTCATTAGTGAAGACTTGATAGAAGAGTTACCTATGTCATGAGCTGGCCTGTGTCTCCTCTAAGCCTGCCCTTCACACTGTTAGGTCTGTTATCCTGGAGGGTGTTGAGGACTAGGCTGGAAAGACTGAACATATGGCAAAGTTGTCATGAGGGGCTGGCACACAGGCAAAATCATATCTAGTCAAATGTACCTTAGAAAATCTGTAAGTTACCCCAGTGGTATAAGATGTTCACCCTTTGAGAGAATTAGGAATTAAGAACAGTTGTTGTTAGGTGTTATAGAGTTGGCTCTAACTCATAGTGACCCTATGTACAACAGAGCAAAACACTCCTTGGTCCTGCACCATCCTCACAATGTTTGCTGTGTTGAGCCTGTTGTGGTCACTGTCAGGCCATCTTGTTGAAGGTCTTCCCCTTTTTCACTGACCTTCTACTTTACCAAGCATGATATCCTGCTCCAAGGACTGGTCTCTTCTGACAACATGACCAAAGTAGGTGAGACCAATAATGACCAGGATTACTGGTTGGATGGACTCCAGTGGGACCCCCAATACTATGGCCCTTTGGGGCTGTAATAAAACTCATTCCTAGGGTCTGGCTCTTAGTCTAATAGTAAATAAGATGTACATGCAGACCATTCAACCCAGGGTGATGCACTCACATACTCTATGGAGACACATAACTTGGAGCAATCCACAGCAGGGTACCAGAGGGGCAACATTTGCACGGAGGAAATGCAGGACACATAGAAGTGCGTAACTGTGAGTGGCACAGAGGGGGGTGGGGGGAGGTTGTTACTGGGCAAGGGGAGGAGACTGGGTTAGAGTTGGGGATGGTAATTGGGGAGTGAAACCAATGTGTATGAAATGTTGAATGTAAAACAAACTGCTCTGTAAACTTGCACCTAAAGCACAATAAAATAATAATAATAATAATAATAAATAATAATAATCATAAAAAAAAATAGGTGAGACAAAGTCTGGCCATTCTTACCTCCAAGGAGCATTCTAGGTATTCTGAGTGGAACTGGGACAGACAAAATAAAAGTGTATTAAAACAAGTTCA